CGATCCAGGACTCCGCGCCGGCCCTCCGACGTGAATTCATGTTTCTGCAGTTTGTTTGTTGTCACTCGCATCGATGCATCGCAGATGTATGGGCGTTTTATGCATCGGCCGATGCATCGTGTGATGCATCGCCGCCGTCGGCGTGGAGACATTGGGTCCGCATCGAGCCGCCTCACCGATGCATCGGCGACGCGCCGAAGATCTCCGACCCCATCCACCCTCGGACATCATCTTGGAGGCCTAGATCTTGGCATGGGCCCAACTTGGAAACTCGAATTCTCTGGGATAACTCGAGCCTGGGGAAACTTCTGTTTGGGTCCCCGACGTACGAACCAATAGCTACCCCTGACTGCCCCCAGCCCCGATGCGTCGGGAATGGTTGGATGCCCGAGTTACCCAGGATAACTCCGGTTCAAGGCAACTCCTGTCTGGGCCCCGACGCACGAATCAGTAGCTATCCCTGACTGCCCCCATCCGAAAATCAAGAGCCGAAAAAAGAGGAGGAACTAAGAATTAAAAGGATAGCACACCCCAATGATTCGGAATTGGTTGGACGCCCGATTTATCCGGGAGAACTCTGGTTCGGTGTAACTCCAGTCTGGGCCCGCGAGGCACGAATCTGTAACTACCCCTGACCGCCCCCAGCCCCGATGATTCGGGAGAGGTTGGACGCCCGAATTATCCGGGATAACTCCAGTCTGTGCCCGCGAGGCACGAATCTGCAGTTACCCTGACTGCCCCTAATCCCGATGATTCGGGGCTCTGACCAGCCCCCCAAGGAACCTCCGAGACATCCGCGCTAACCTCTGAGAAATAATGTGTAATGATGAAGTTTTTGTGTTGTTCGACTCTTCCGATGCATCGGCGATGCATCGGAGGCGTCGGCGATGCATCGCCGCCGTCGGCGTGGCGAAAATCGTGCTCCGCATCGAGCCGCATCACCGATGCATCGGCGATGCGACGCGATCCTCCGACCCCATCCACTCGGACATCATCTTGGAGGCCTAGATCTTGGCATGGGCCCAGCTTGCAAGCTGGAATTTTCTGGGATAATTCCAGCCCAGGGTAATTCCTTTTTGGGTCCACGACGTACGAACCAATAGCTACCCCTGACTGCCCCCAGCCCCCATGATCTGGGAACGATCTGGGATAACTCCAGTCTGGGGCAACTCCAGCCTGGGTCCGCGAGGCATGAATGTGTAGCTACCCCTGACCGCCCCCAGCCATGATGATTCGGGGCTCTGACTGGGAAACTCAAATACACCAATACAGCTACTCCCTGGACCTCTCCCAGGGTGCGTTCTGACCGGAAGCCCGAGGCGAATCCAGCGGTGGCGAGGAAGGTCTCCCGGGAGGTCCAAACAGGCGAAAGCGAAGGGAGGGCAGCGGTGTCGATACCTTTTCCTCCTCTAACTGGCCAGCCCCCCCGGGGAGCCTGGCTTCCAGCGCCTTGGAGAGCGCCTGGGCGCGCGCCTCCGCCTCGGGAACCAGCAAGAATGCGAAGGGCCACGCTCGGCGCGGCCGGCCGACGACCCATGCCACCCAAGACAGGCCCGCGTCGCGCTGGCGTCGGCGTTGGGCTTCTGACACCGCAGGGATGGTGCATCCTTGAACGGTCGCTAGAAGGACAGCACCTAATCGAGGAGGAGGGGAAGAACGAGGACAGGGAGGACGAGGAGGAGGGCGAGGGGGGGAGCAAGATGAGGAGGGCGAGGAGGGACAGCGAGGAGGGCGAGGAGGGGGATGACGAAGATTGCCAGCCGAGAGCGAGCCGCCGCTGGGGTCGATGCCCGGCGCGATCAGGCCGTAATCGAATTCGCGCGACGCAATGAGCGAAGCGCCGTGATCGGGACGCACTGACCCGGATCAGCACAAACCGGGGTCAGTCTGGCGTTGCAGGATCCGGCAATGTCCGGCAGGATCCTGCGCGCTGGCCCAGATCAGTGGCTCTGCTGGATCCTGCAAGCACTGGCGCTATGGCTGACCCCCGTTTGCACTGACCCCGCCTCGAGGCTCCCGACATCGTCTTCGCGACCTCGCGCCGCCGCCCTGGAGAGGAGCACCAGGCGGGACGCGGGGAGCCAGGACAACTCCGTCCCCAGGTCGTCAGGAGTTCTCGATCTCCAGTAGGCGGCAGGCCAGTGGGGGGAAGCCTGCTGTTGGGCACTGTACCCATTCTTCCCGTACCGATTTGGTTCGTGCCGAAGCACAGCCCTGGCAAGTCCCGTTCTCAAGAGAAGGGGGCCGGCGGCAGGCGGCGAAGCCCGCGCGGAAAGAGGGCGGACGACAAGGCTGCCACAGGGCCCCCGGAAGGCCACGCCGGCACGCCGCGGGCGGGGCGCGCCCAGCGAGAGCGGCCGAGGAGGGGCCGCAGGGGAAGGGGATGCAGGGGCAACCACCTTGGAGAGCTGCTCTCCCGCACTGCGCTCAGGTCGGGCCTGTGCTTCTACAGGGGGGGTATTCAGAACAAGTCAAAACGTGGTCTGGGGACCCTCTTCTTCTTATATAAAACCCCCAAAAAACATGTTGGGGCATCCTGGGACGAAGTTCTGAGTATCTCTGATTCTTCGCCCAGAATCCCCCCGTCGGGGGACCAGGCCCGTCTCTACGCGATGCGCGTGGCCCGTGGAGGTCCCCCGTGGGAACCCTTGGGCAATCGCTTCGGCCCGCCGACGTGCCGCAGGCCAGACACGGGCGCCCCGTGCGCCAGCCTGGCCCGCCGCGGCGTCGCCCCTCTGCCGGCCCCGTGGGCGCCTCGTGGGCGCCTCGTGGGCGCTGCCCGCGTCCGCCGGGGCCTGTCGGGTCGGGCGAAAGGGGGGGATAGCAAAGGGGGGGGTTCAGAATCAGCTCGCGTAGCTGATTTTCCCGGCGCCTCCTGGCGCCGGAGGCGGCTATGTATCGAGGAAGGGGCCCCTGGGTGGGGACGTGGCTGGCACACCACAGGTTGCACGACCCAGCTTGCGATACGTCTGCTTCACTACATCGCTTGCAGCGCGGATCTTGCACCACACACGTTGGTTACGCATCCAGGGTGCAATCGCGCACTGTTTGGGGTCCACGTGAGTCCACGCTGCCAAATAATTCCTTATGCTCAATTCCTCTTCTCGGCACATACGCGTCCCCCGAGTACCCCCAAAGCTTAACCCCCCTAACTCCTAAATCCGCGTTGAGTGATCTGATGCGAACCTCGAGGGAGAGCAGCTCGATCTGATGCGAACCTCACCGCAGCGATGTCTCTCCCCTGGCGTGAGTAGCCTTCCTCATAGATGTCATTGACCACCGCACCGAGGAGCACCATCCATTTAATGACTCTCCAGTCGAGTCCACCACCGTCGCCCTGGATCAGACGCTGGTGCCACATCCGCTCTCCTTCGTAGTGCACCGACGCTCCCTGGAGCATCCCATGAAGTGTTGCTCCCACTGGGCCCACGTTCTGCACGGCCAGTCCTGCGGCGGCAGCACATCAGCACGACACGGTTCCACGACAGAGCGCCGTAGGCCAGCGCCAGGACCAGCAGGAAAACCTCGTTCACCAGCACCACAGACCAGACGGAGGAGGGCTGTCTTGGTTCGCTGCTCCCCCCGCCGTTCGCCGAGGGCGTGGCGGGAGCGGGGGAGCCAACGGGACACGTCGGACAGCCAGGACAAGGCGGGCACACACAGCTCGGTATGGCGGGGCAAGAAGGAACGTGGACTGGTGGGCACCTCTGCAGGTTGCTGCCCAGGAGATAGGCGAACGCTCCCTGCCAAATGTACTGGGCGGCAGGGAGCCAGTAATCCATACGCACTGCCTTGGTGCAATTCTTGAGCCTAAAAAACCCACGGAAGCGATCTAACATCGACGGCCTGGACTCGTGACGGGATGAGGAAAGACATCCACGCATAGGATATATTTCGCATGAGTCATTTGATTCCTATTCAATACCGCTCTCCCAATGCAACCTCATGGCGTTTCCAACGTAGACGTCCTCCAGGAAGGCCCGAAAGGGCACAAATCATTGATTTCCCTTAGGTTGTTGAAAGAATGTGGCATTTTCGTTCTATCAGCTCTCCGACGGCCAAGACAGCCCAAGAGGCCCCCAACATCGTCCCAAGAGCGCCCAAGAGGCCTCCAAGATGGCGCCATGACAACCCAAGAGGCCCACAACAGACGGCCCGAGATGGCCCCGATAACGCCAAAGATGGCCTCCAAGACGGCCAAGATGGCCTCCAAGATGCCTCCAAGACGGCCAAGAAGGCCTCCGAGACAGCGAAGATGGCCCCGAGATGCACCCAAGACGGCCACCGATGGCCTCAAGGTGGCCTTACACTAACCACCTGGTCCGATAGCTCGCCCGACTCCGTGTTCCCCGAAAACTTTCGAAACCTACTCGGGGAACGCGTGGCCCGATAGCTTGGCCAAGCTCAAACCCAACTTTCGGCCACGCAGGCGCTTCCAAAAAGGCAGGGGGGGGCGGCGGTGATTCGCCGTAGGCGTCTTCGATTGGCTGCTTCATTTACGAATTCAATTTCGGCGTCACGCACTGTGACTCAAATCTTATCACCAGAGAACTTCGCGAGGCTGCTGGCTCATTGAGACGGCATCGCTTGGACCACCCTAACTCGGGGTGGCAACAAAATTCTTCGCGAGGCTGCCAGCTCATTGAGACGGCATCGCTTGGAGACTCGATCCCCTGACCACCAGTGGCAAAAGCAACGTCAGTCGGCTGGTTGAGCCCGCATCGCTATGGAACGACCTGTTCCTAACCACCGGCGGCGAACTCCCGAAAAACCCACGGCATCGCGGCGTGGTGCAGCGGACGCAAGGTGCCGAACACCGTACCTCACGCAGACACCGGGCCAAGCGAGCCCGAGCAAGAACACTAATTATGAACAGGGGCTGCTGTCGGTCTTCGTACCCTCTCATTCCGAACCCACCTCGATCACTAATGAATGCAAAACGCCCCAAGCATTGAAATCTCAGGGCAAACAGGGCGTGATGCTTGGAAACATATACGATACTATGGAGCCGTTTGTGTAGGGGTGCCCCCCAGAAACAGTGGAAGGAGGAAGAGGAGGAGGAGGAGTCCCAGGAGGCCTACGGAAACAGCGAGGCGGACGGCGACGGCGCCCACGCCGTGGTCGCCCTCGTCGCTGGCCGGAGGCGGCGGTCCGAAGTCCCGCTGGCGGGCCGGCCCCCGGCTGGCCTCGGCAGGCCCGCCGGGGGCTGGCTCGCGCCGGCGGAGGCTGGCGGGCATGCCAGGGACGCCCTGGCCGAGGTCAGCGCTGCGCCGCTGCCCACCGAGCGGGCGACGCGGGGAATGCGACACTAGATCGTTGGCATCGAAGCCTGGCGTGTTGACCATGGCTGTCGCGAGGGCACGCCGCTTCGAGGCAACTCGAAGCACCCCGCCCGCCCCGCGCGTCCCCGCCCCCCCCGGGTCAACGCTGACCCGGGTTAACCAAGGCCAAGTCGAGAACTCTGACCAGCCGCAAAGGAGCTCCCCAATCAGCTCCACGTGCCTCCCAAGCCTGGGGTCAGCCAAAAGGAATCGGAAGGGACTGGCTGGCCCGCGTTAGCGCTGGCCCCCGTGACGTGAAGGCCCCGAGCCGAAGGCGGCCCACCCGCCCAGGCGGCTCGGCTGCCGCTCAGAGTCCAAGGTCGACGCGGACGCCGTGCTTGCCTGGGAGGAGGCGGGACGGCATGAGTGGCGGAGCCCAGGGGCACACAAACAAACATAAGCCAATCCCAAGACTCCCTGTATTTTGTCCATCTTGATTTTCGTCGTCCCTCCCATTCACTTCCCATGTGCTCCTGGGAATCGGCGTTAATTTGTGTCTGTGTCCATTTTTCCCTCCTGAATGACTATGCACTTTCGGAGGTCCGCGCGGGCTTTGCAGGGTGGGGGGGGTCCAGCTCCGACCCAAGAGATCCGCTTGGACCTCCGAAGACTTATGGCTGTGCGTTTTGTTTGTTCGCTGGGTGCCCTGCACGAACTCCATGCCGATCTCGACGGGCCGGAACTTCGCCAGCACGTCATTGTTGTGGTCGTCTATCCTGCGCACGTCCCGAGGGTCGCCGGCCAGCACGTTGTGCAGCATCGTGCGCAGGAACAGGCTGCCGGCGCCGAAGCACAGGAAGATTGTAAACTTCTGGTTGAAAGTCCTAGAGGGTGAAACAACCTAGGTCACCGAATTTCGTGCATCAAGAATGCGCGACGCGCGATTACCGGGGGCGCACATACATAGATCAGCGATCCGTGCATTTGGCGCACGGTCGCCGAATCCAGGGATCGGGGGAGGTGCCCTCCCCCAAAATGCGGCCAGTGCGGCCTCTTTCGGCGGCGGAAGTCAATGATTTCCCATGGAAGCGGGACCCGACGTTAATCCACGCCCCCTTGATCCATGCTTGCGATCGCCTGAGATTACCTTCGCGCCCTCGCGCGCTCGCGCCGCCCCCATGGAGAAGGGCAGCCGCTCTGGCCCAGACAGCGACGCGCGCAGCGCGATCATCTGCGCGCCTCCTCGGGCGGCCTAGAAAAAAACACCCCAAAGAAAACACCTACAGGCGAAGCCCTCAAGAACTCCTCGTCCTCCTCCTCCTGCTTCTCCTCCTCCTCCTCCTCCTTCTCCTCCTCCTCCTCCTCCCTCTGAACACGTATCTAGGGAAGGAAAATAAAGGAATCGGCCAGGGCAGAACTGGGTAGCAGACGCCCAGGACTGTTTAGCGCACGCCATGTTTGTAAGGGTCGGGGTGCTTTATTCCTCCCTTGAAATCCGTGACCGCGCCGGGCCCATGACGAACGCCAGGAGGTAGCCGTTAATGAAGACCCCGACGGTTCCGATCAACACAATCATCTTCTTGCTGCTGCCAATGTCGGCAGCTATCTCGGGGTACGGACGGCCCGTGACGAAAATCATGCGCGTCTGGAGCAGTTTGTATTCAACCATCGTCACAGCGGCCGCGATCACGACCATTGCGGGGCTCACCATTCCGAAGACCGATATATACACGAAACCAAGAATCAGTTCCATGGTGTCCTCTACAAAAGACCCTCCAAACGATTGGTACTCATATTTGGCATACAGATGGCACTTCGCTTGCACCTGTAACACGCTATACCCAACCTCAGTAGGCGATGCGCCGCCCTTCTGTACATGTTGTGCTGCCGCTGAGACCTCTTGTTTGATATCGTACTCAACTCGAGCCATGGGATATAGTAGAAGCGCTAGTGTCACAGCAACGTGCGTGACGAACTGAGCGACGATCATACTATGAAGGTCAGCATGACAATTCGTCAGACAATCCACAGCAGATCTGCGAGAAGGAACCTGGTAGCACTCCGTCAGCGGAAGACAAAAGGCCAGGCAAGCTTCATCCCCACTGTACTTGTCCTCATGCAAGAGCCTATCCAAGGACAGATCCCGAAAGGCGATCTCGGCACTAGTCAGCGAGTACATGCTCAGCTTCTCCTCGAAGGTGGACTCGTTGAGCATGCCCGCCTCTCCAGCGTGCGGTCCCTGAGGCCACTGGACGTACCCGTCGGCGCGACCCTGCTCAGACAGGGGCCCGTACGCTGCCTCCACCGCCGCCAGGAAGCTGTCTCCGCAGTAGGCCATCGTGATCTTGTCGAACAAGAATATGCTCAACGCAGGCCAGAGAACGAAGAAAGTCTTGAAGGTCGCCAACCTGAGAAAGAGCTCATCGTCGAAGCGCTGCTGCGTCTTGTGGTTCTCCCACCGAGTGAGAACAGGTGCAATTTTACCCCACAGCCACTTCGCTACCATTACCACAAGGGAAATTGCCCAGTCCATAGCACCCTGGCCCAATACACTCGCATTCATCTTCATGGCAGCGACGCCGATGATGAACATGGTGCAGTACGACACCGTACAGAAGGCCGCCGCGACGTTGCCGAAGCGCTCCCTGGACCTAAACGAAGACAAAACGACATGGACATAAACTTTCGAGGGACAGCGCGGGTTTCGTGGATCTGCGCTGGGCCCCCTCCCTGGCGTGGGGAGCGCACGGCGCATGGGGCGCCGCCAGGGGGGTCCAGCGCCGATCCAAGAAATCCGCGCAATCGATGCTTAATGCAATGATTATTGCTCGACTTGTTTTTTCCCGTCTTCGAGAACCTGCCGACCAGCTTCTCGTCAAACGTCTTCAAGTTGCTGTCTCTGCTTGCCATCAGGCGTTCTACATTCCAGGCGCTCATGCCCCACAACTGCGCCAACCTTGAGCTGCTGCGATTAAAGCGGACCTCGAAGAGGAGGGCCCAGAAGACAACCACCGCACCAAGTACCATCCTGCAGCGATTCTCCTGAAATCGGTCGAGATTCACGAAGTTGAACAAGCAGAAGAAGCAGAACGCGAGTGCGCCCAGAATGGCGATAGCCCTGACGAAGAAGGCGAAGAAGTGAAAGAAGAAGCCGACCTTCTCCCCGAAGTAGTCTCCGACCTGCTGGGGCAGGAGCGCCCTGCGGAACCTCAGCGGGTGCGTCCAGTGCGCCTTGAGGCTACTCTGCTCCTCCGACGTTGCCACCGCGAAGTGCGTCGAGATGAATCCCTGCTCGTACAACTCCTCCAAGTCGATGAGGCTGGATAGATGCCGGCGGGCGATGCGGATCACGTCCACTCGACGGAAGGGCTGCAGCTTGCCGCGCCGGTACAAGTCCATGGTGAACGGAGTGTAGGCGAAACACAAGGAACCCTCGACGTTGGTGATCCGCTTGGTGGACTGGTAGCAGGCCTTGCTCAGGCGTACGTTGTACTCGAATTGCTCGGCCAGCGCGCGGACCACGTCACCGTCGGGATCCAGGTAGATCTTCAAGAAAGTCTCGTCGCCGTCCACGCTGGGGAAGCAGCTGCAAATGAAGCCGCTCCTGCGGAGGCCTCGTAAATGGAATCAGAATAGACGGGGCCGGAGGATCGCACTGCAAAAAAATAGGACTCCGGATCGCACAGCATGTCCGATGCATCGGCGATGCGGCGATGCTCCGACACATCTGCTCTAGCCGCATTCGGGAGGCCTGGATCCTGAGAAGGATGTCCTCGATCTTCCGCCTCACTATACAGTGGTACTCCTCGGCGAGCATGGGCTCGACGCCGAGCCTCTCGATCTCCTGATCCTTTCAGGAAAACATGCATAAAACACAAACTTACGAAGGTCGGAACAGATTTCTTGGATCGGCATCTGACCCCCTGGCATGAGGGGGAATGTTAGGGGAACCGGCTCAGGGGGGGAAACACTGCCGTGGACTCGGCTCGGGGAGACGCAAGACTCGGGCACGGGGGACTCGGATTGGCCTGACAGGGCCGCCATGAACATGCCGAGACCCAACCTGAAATTTGACGCGAACTCCTCCTGCAAACGTCCCACGAAAACGGGACCGTCAATATCCAGGACGCGCTCGTCAAAAACTTCGGAAACCCCGAGTTCTGGCTTACTCGAGTCTTACTGAAGGGGCCCCAGGACACAAATAAATACACACAAATAACAAGATTCCCTATATTTTCCTATATTTTCTGGATTGTTGTCTTCCCCCCCACTTCCCATGTTTTCCCATATTTTCTCGGGAATCGACGATTAATTGGGTATGTGTGTTTCTTTCCCTCCTGACTTACGTTTCCCCGATCGGCGATGCCTCGCCGATGTAGTTTTGGCGATCGGCCCCCGGTAGCGAAGCCGATGGTCCCCCGGTGGGCTGTCAGACCCGCCGGCGGCGGCGAATGGGCGACTGGGGGTCGCTGCGCTCCCCCCTCCTTAGCCTCTCCTTTGAGCAGGGCCCGATCGTCCCGACATTCCTATAGGCCTACCACAGCAATCGAATGATTAAAACAATGCTATCAGAACGTAGACCCGATGCACTAAATCAAACGAAGACAGTCTCGGCCAGGAATGCTCTGAGAACATCTCGTGCATACCACAAGAGGTTCTCAGAACATCCTCTGGTGGGCCTACGGGCAGGCCAGGACGCTTCGCCACTGCTCGATCTCCCCTCTCCCCCTAGCGTTAGGTCGGGCATGTCCTCCTACAGGCGGATTTTGGCAGACAAATGATACATACTCAAAACATGTTCAACAACATGCCAAAATATATCAAAAATCGTCCCCACGCGATCATTTGGCTATTTTTGAATATTCCACTACTCCTGCTGTAGAGGGACATGCCCGACTTAGTCCTAGCGTTGCCTCGCGCGCCAGGGAGGGCCTGGGCCCAGGCCAGGTCCAAGATTTCCGCGCTGGACCCTCGAAAGTGCCCGTGGATGCTTCTCTCTCTCTCTCTCCTCCGTGGATGCTTCTCTCTCTCTGGGGCCCAGGGACACACAAATAAATAGACACTGTTTGTTCCCAGGGTTCCCCATATTTTCGTCTCCCCCCCCCACTTCCCATATTTTCCAATATCTTCCTGGGGAGTCGACGATTAATTGTGTCTGTGTGGCTTTTCCCCTCCTGACCTGCTTCTTGAAAATCCTCCTGGCGCTATCCAGCGGGTCGGTGATGACCTCGCCGCGGTCCACGACGCCGGGCCCTGGCTCAGCCGCCCGGGTGAACACCAGCACGTAGGTGGCATGCCCATCATCGCGGCGAATGTCGCCAACCAGTGTGTGGGACAGCGCGCCGTCCAACGCGCCGTCGACTGTCTTGGACAGGAGCCGGAGATTGTCCGGCCCGTCCGCCGACTCAGTGCTGCTGGAGTCCCCGTTGTCATGCTCCCCTGTCCATTCGTCATCCTCCTCGGCGGGGGAACGGCACCCGTCGGTCGGAAGAAGTGGGTAGAGGCATGAAGCAGGGAGCCGTTGGAAGTGGGCTGGGTTTCCGCCCGCCCCCTGAAGTAGAGGTAAGAGGGAGAACCACTCGACCCTTGAGTAGGAAGGCGGCTAAAATAGGTTGGGATCTGGAAATCCCCAAATACCTACTTTCAACATCCGACGGGCAGGGGGGGACTGGCTCGGGTCGGGGGGGGCCATGCTGGGGGCGTCTAGGAGGGGGGGGGGGAGGGCGCGAATCATTGTCGGCGACATGTGCGCGGCCCGGGGGGGGGCCAGGGACGCATTGAAAGAATAAGACGAAGAAGAAGAAGAAGAAGAAGGAGAAGAGGCGCCATGAAATCTGGGGGGAAATCGTGGCCCCCGCCATGATATCCACCTCCCCCTGGTCGTCACCCCCATCATTGGGGAAACTAATAGGTACCGATACCGCTACTCCCCAGACCTCTCCCTGGATTTCGAGGGAAACCCAGCGGTGGCGACGGAGGCCCAGGAGGCCCAGGAGGGGTAGAAGTATGGGTACCTTTTCCGCCTCCGGCTTTTGGTCGCCCACGATCGGGGGGGAGGGGGGAGGGATCGCCCCGGAACTGGCCGTGCATCGCCGGTCGATGGATCGTCAGGCTCTCGACTTAGAGCTGGGTCGGGCACGTCCCTCCACGCGAGGAGTACTCGAAAATATAAAAAAAAAAAAAAAAATAGAACGAGGACGACTTTTCGATAAAGTCCGACTGTCTGTGAGCGTGCTTTGGCTACTGCTTGTTCTCATTCCAAGCTCCCCCTGTAGGAGGACAGGCCCGACCTGGAGTTCGCGACGCAGCCCGCTCTCCGGAGCAGGCTGTGTGGCACGCCCGGGGTCCCCGGCCTGCGCGGGGAGGTGGGCTGCGGAGGGCCGCTGCTCGCTCGCCCCCCCCCCCCCGGAGCCTCGTCGTAGGTCGGGCCTGTCCTCCTGGGGGCTCTTCGGCGGCGAGCGAGGGGGGGAACGAGCAGGGGAAGGCCTCCTCAGAAGGCGGCGGGAGACTCCTCCGAAGCCCTCGCGCCTTCTGAGAAGTTTTTGTTGCCTTCGGAGAAGGCCTCGAAAACTTCTCAGAAGGCTCTGGAGGATGTCTCGGGCGCCACAGCCTTCTCAGAGCGTACCGGAGCGCTCTGAGAGCGTTCCGGAACGCTCTGGAACGGAATTTGCCTTGTCCCAGCCCCGTGCGATTGTCCCCTTCTCTCGGTGCCCCTGACCTCGTCGCTGCTGCTGTCGGCGACGCAGCAGCCTTTCGCGGGCACCTCGCCGTCGTCGTCGGGCAGCCACGGGGACAGCGCCCTCCTTTGCATGCGCCGAAGAGGGGGCGGCAGGAAGAGAAGCTGGCGCATCATGGCTCAAGGCACGTGCGCGGACGGAGGGGTGGGCAAGGAGCGCGTTGGAAGAGAACGAAGAGGAAAATTATCCCAGTGCGATCCTACCTAGGAGTTGGAGCCCCTAGGAAAGCAGCATTAGTAGTAACAGTAAAGCTAAGCTAAAGCTAAGCTAAAGCTAAGCTAAAGCTAAGCTAAAGCTATGCTAAAGCTAAGCTAAAGCTATGCTAAAGCTAAGCTAAAGCTAAGCTAAATCTAAGGTAAAGCTAAGCTAAAGCTAAGCTAAAACTAAAGCTAAAACTCCCAGGGGACTGGGGGAACCGCCCCGGAGCGCAACCGGGGGAACCGCCCGGGGCGCTTTCCACTGCCCGGCCCCTTTAAGCCAACAGAATAAGAACCCTTCTAGG